ATTTATTTATTTGAGAGAGAGAGAATGAGAGAGAGCACATGAGAGGGGGGAGGGTCAGAGGGAGAAGCAGACTCCCTGCCGAGCAGGGAGCCCGACGCGGGACTCGATCCCGGGACTCCAGGATCATGACCTGAGCCGAAGGCAGTCGCTTAACCAACTGAGCCACCCAGGCGCCCTTGAGTCACTCTTTTTTTTGAAACATAAAGCATGTTCATGGCTGAGTAGCTTTATTGTCCAGTCCTGTAGGATCTAAGAAGTTGGACAGTCTTCCTCCATTTGTCTAGTTTTTCTTCCCTTGGGTGCCAGCTGGCTTGTTTCTGCTGGTATAATCGCTGGCTTCTGTGGAGATGCCTGAACTTAATCACACCCGAGTCACACCCATGATCTCTTTTTCAAATGGTTGTTCAGCCACACCCTTAGTGTTCTCAGCAGAACAAGCTTTCTCATATTTTGCAACATGGGTGGACAGAATTTTCTAAATCTCCAAGTTCTGGGGTTTTGTTTGGTTTGGTTTTTTGTTGTTGTTGTTTTTGTTTTTGCTTAACAAGTCTTCTTCAATTTATCTCTCACCTCTCATATTTTTATAAGCAGTAAGGAGGGCCCGAGCTGCACCTTTAACACTTTGCTTGGAAATCTGTGTTGAATGTCCATAGTTTCTTCGCTCGCAAGTTCTACCTTTCACAAAATACTAGAACACCATTCAGCCAAGTTCTTTACCACTTTACAATAAGGACTGCCTTCCTTCCAGGTTCCAGTAACGTGTTCCTCATTTCTGTCTGAGATTTCATCAGAGCAGCCTTTAACATCCATATTTATAGTGTGCACCTCAAAACTCTGCCATCCTCTACCCATTACTCAGTTCCGAAGGTGCTTCCACATTTTTAGGTATTTGTTAGAGCAGCATCCCTCTTCTAGGTGCCAAAATCTGTTAATCTGCTTGGGGGTGCCATAACAAAATACCATAGACTGGGGGGCTCACAACAGAAGTTAATTTCTCACCATTCTAGAGGCTGGGAGGGCCAAGATCAAGGTGCCTGCTGATGGGTTTCTGGTAAGAAGGTTCTCTTCCTACTTGTAGATGGCCACCTTCTTGCAGTGTCCTCATAATCCTTCCTCAGTGCGTGCGTGTGCAGAGAGAATTCTCTCTTACAAGGCTACCAATCCTATCAACTTAAGATCCCATACTTATGACCTCATTTAACCTTAATTACCTTCTACAAACCCTATCTCTAAATACAGTCACATTGATTAGGGCTTCAACATGAATTGGTGGTTGGGGGATGGTTGACACAATTCCATCCATGGTAATTTTCTTTCTGTTCAGATTGGGTATTTTATATTGTTTTATCTTCAACTTCACTGATTCTTTCCTCTGCTTCT